GAGAGAGAGAGGGGGTGGTAGATGTTACTGCCTCTCTGGGTGAGAGGGAAATCTAATAAAATTGAACTAATGGGGGTATGGGCTTTTTAGGGGACAGAGAGTGGGTTTGTAGACAGGCACTGGTGGGTAGTGCTGGCGGTGGAGATGAGGAGGATGGAACAGGATCCGTGGAGTGCTTGGCGAAGCAGCAGAGCCAAACTCCTGCTTTCAGCTGCAGATGGTGAACCCGGGTCGGGTTTAGAGTGCAAGGTAGGGGGGCCGAGGCATATATAAAATACTCCCGGAAAGTTACAGCTTTGATATATTATGCAATTAGAAATGCTGTGTGCTTACTCACGATCACTGTGCTTGCCTGATGTTAACAAAGAAGCTGACAGTGAGAGACAGAAGCTTTAATGTTTCTCTGCAGACCCTTAAATGGGAAGCGAAAGAGCACCATTTGAATCTTTGATCTTTTTGCAGTTGAACTGTGACTCCACAGACTGATCAAATCTTTCAAACCTACTGTGAGGCGCCAGAGGGCCACAGGTCCCCTGATAGTACAATGCTCCACTTTTAAGGGGAATAAAAGTGCTCACCCTGACCTTGCTAGGTTTGATTTACCCATCCTTAGGCAGGCGTGGTCTCTTCCCTTTGTACCTGCTTCATGATCATGGTTTCTCCTCCCAGGGTTAATAGACATGAAGTCATCTGGTGAGCAGAAACCTGAGTGTGTTCTCAGGATGTGCCCAGAGCACTCACAGGGACATCACTCAAAGCCCCTGTGTCAGAGAGGACACAGCCATTAATAAATATCATTAATGGATGATCACCTGGTATCCCTGAAACCACATAAATGAGAGAGGCCTAAAAAAAGGAGAGGGAGTGGAGAGGTCAGGGGGCAAAGGTCTGAGAGGAGATAGCTCCCCTCTGGGCAAAAGATGGCTGAATCAGGGATGGTGGAAAATCAATAGCACTGCTACTTTCAGTATACTGTCAGAATGCGTGTATTTATGCTGCTACTATATAAAAATTATTGTGAAGGAAGCTGACCACTTTCTAATGGTGTCACGGAGACTTCATTTTCCTGTTGCAACTTGGCAGCAGGGCAGACGGTGGTAGAACAGGATGCATACCGTCCCATCTTTGAGCGCTCTGCACAGCCGCAAGCTAACACCTGCACTGATTTAATGACTGTTTTCTGTGGCAGCCATGTTGCTGCAGGAGAAATGTATATGTTTGTGTGTGTGTGTCATTAGAGTAAAATGCACATGGTGGTTAAGTTCTTGTGCTTAGCACAGTCTGGGGAAATACAACCATGTGTTAAAGAGTCATTAAGGGGCTGATGAAGGTGTTTGAGAATCACAGCCTGCTCATCATCACTCTGCTAACGTCCCTTAGTTGCGTCACTGTGGTTCTGGATACAAAGACTTAAGTTTTGGCTGAGCTGGGTTTAACTGAGCTGTGTCTCGACTTCAGATGCAGGAGAGGTAGACACTTGTACAGAGCTAGCTTCAGGAATAGGGTTATATCACGGTAAGGGTTTTCTCTTTTAACTGTGTCCTTTTCTTTAAACCTATCAGTTTAAGGTGGTGCATTTATATATTCATACTGCCTATTTAAAGAGCTGGATTTTCCATTATTCATCATGTAAGTGGGAAGGTCCTGCCAGCTAATCCAGTCAAAGAGAGTGGTTTAATTTCTATGCGTGTACTAAAAATTTAAGTTGTATGTTGTCAAGATGTTTCTGTAGTTCTTTGATTGATTTTGTTATGTGTAATAGCTATGCTGTCTCTGTTGAACTGTATTATATTAACTTGTGTTGCATTACATTCAGTTACTTTTGTACTTTGTTGTGTATATAACCATCGCCACTAAGGCTTGTGCATCGGCCCCTTGGCTCTTTGACCTGCAGTCCCTCTGTACTTTGACACTCGCAGGCCGCTTTGAATGCAGGCTAATTGAATTAATATACAGATAGTGCCAGCTGGACAGCTCGCTGAGACGCTGACAAATGACCAATTGCTGTTTCAGGCTAATGGTGTGTGGGGAAGAGACACTGGAATCCATCTAATCTCTTCCCACCTCTAGTCTTTGTCTCTCTTAATACTCCCCTTCACCATTTATGCTCTCTGTCTTCCACCTGGCGTCCTCCCTTTCTAGAAGGGAGTTTCAGTGACACCAGAAGAGCATCTTACCGGCCATCAGCTTACTAAACGTCTTATAGAGACTACAAAGGTAGACATGCTGCCAGCAAACTCCTCTGGCTTCTATTCATTCAGGTGATTCCCTGCTTGAGTGGCAGGAGCTTGCCAGACCTTGATTGGTTTTCTCTTGCACAAAAGGCGTGGGTCTCACCTCTCTGGTTCATACTGATCGACTGCAGGCTGCAGGGAAGGTGCTCAGTGAGAGCTGTCAAACTCAGAATTCATCCTGTGATGTACAGAAGATGTCCTTGTCAACACTGGTGACTATGATTGATCTGTAAGCACTTTAAATCCCTTTTCTGCTTCAGCTGCATGTCAATTAGCTGTCGTGTTTTAAGATGTTATTTCCAGATAGCTACCCTTTGCAGATTGTAACTATTTGTAGTGTTTGTAGTTTGTAGTGTGTTAAAGAAAGTCAGAGACTTCTCAGTGCATCAGTAAGACTCAGTGTGACTATGATGCCGCTGACAGCTGCAGGCTTGAAGACACTCGCTGTGTGTAGACTGTGGTATTTTAACCCATGTCTCTCTGGTCACAAAAAGGAAGGGTTGTGGCCCCTGAGAACAATTCTTAGAGGTTTTGGTGAAGGCCGTTAGTGGGGTTAGGGTGTGATTATATTGGTTTACGATGTGTTATCTATGACATTAGAAGTGTAGAAGTTTAAAATAACATTCATAGTGAGGTACAACAGATAAAATCTTGTGCTTCCAGAAAAGTACCTGCTTCAAAGTGTCAGGCATACCTTTCTGTGACAAACAGAAACTATAGTCAACTAAAACTGGCTCGACAAGGTCATAAATTCACTGTGCCGGTTTCATGTGCAATTCTCTGCATCCCACACTGTCCGTAGAAAAGACAACTAACTCCAAACACACACACACACACACACACACACACACACACACACACACACACACACACACACACACACACATATATAATGTGTAAATATGGTAAAACGCAGTCACTTTTTTTGTTCCCAATCTTCTAAAATGCTTTATTGGACTGTGCCGCCTTACTACTTGTAAAAAGCGTTCCACTCATAGACAGTGTGAGCGGGAAGTGAAGGGATGGTGTTGTGCTCTGCTTATGTCCTAGCATTGTGATCCAGACCAGCTGGATGCCATTCCCTATGGGAATCATGAATGTGAAGGTTGTTAAAAGATATGGAGCCTTGGACTTACTGACAGCAGCTGGGAGAAGGGGGAAGGGAGCAGAGAGGAAAAAGAGAATACTGGGAAAGGGAAAAGAAAACGTTGTGGAATTCACAACAGTAGCCTTAGACACAATGTCTTTCTTTTCATTTTTGCTGCTAACTTTTTACTAAACATGTCTCAGGAGATCAACTGTAAAAGGAATCATTAATTTCCATGTTTTTTAGTGTTAGTGTTTTAGTGTAAAATTAAATAAGGTTTTGCAACCTGTTAAAAGCTATTAAACTGTAAATATGTCATGCATTTTTTATTTATGTCTAGGTTTGTGCTGGGTTTTTGCGCTTGCGGTCGTCTTTATGCGGTGCCCAGAAAAACACACTCTAGTGGAGAGGTGCATTTGGTAAACATGAGGAACACAAGTGCACTTTTAGTGTGCTTCTCTCTGGTTCTCATCCCAGACTGCTCAGAGACACCGTCTCAGTCAGTGCTAAGTAGACCACACAGTTAAAGCAACAAACCTGTTGCTGGGTCAACAGTAAGGGAGCGTTCTGAGGTCTCACACCTTACCGGCGATCTCATCTCACCAGCAGAAATGCACAAACAAACACACGTGCTCCATAAGAGAGAGAGAGAGGGGCTGTTGTGAATATGAAGAGCAGGGACCGGTGGGATGCAGTCATGAAAGGTAAAGAGCAAGAATGACAGGACTGAAGGAGAGATGAAGGACAGCCTAAGTGGCTTTGACTTGTCCTGCTGACATGTGGATTTATGAAGCCATTTGTCACGTCGTAGTCTGCGCTTAATCATCACACTGATGGAGGCGAATATGTACAAACATAATGACGAAATACTCCCAGAGATTTATATTAAATGTTGTCTTTGGTGTCCACTTTGTCTCCTTTAGAGGCTAAAGGCTGCACTTTCACACCACCCCGGTGCCATCGCAAACGGCAACATGAACTCCATGGGCCACATGATGGATATGATGTCATCACGGCAGGACCAAGGCGCTCACCATCACATGCACTCGCACTCGCACCCGCACCAGCACCTGCAAGCCCCTCCGCACGCATACCAGCACCACGGACACCACCACCACAATCAGGGCCACGCTCAGGGTGGACACCATCACCCGCAGGGACACAATCCCCATCACAACTCCCACAACCCCCATCTTCATCCTGGGCACCCACATCAGACATCACCGCACCCTCCGATGCACTCTGCTTCACAGGTAAGCAAATCGTCTCCCCGAGAGAGCTGAGAAGCTTTTAGGCAGCCCAAAGGCAAAGCCACAAGTTCAATAACACATTAACTACACTGCACATTAAAATCACTCACACAGCTAGAAGTCAGCGTGTATGCAGCGTGACTAAAACAAGCCAGTCCTTTGGAAGGCTTTTGAGTAGTTTTGAAGTCAGCTATTAGTGGTTTAGTATAGAAGCATGGCTAAAATGATGCTTAGAATTCACAGCGAGTGAGTGGATGAACGCATTTTCCCTTGCTGCATCCTTAATAGCGAGTTTCCTGGCACCCGGTGCAAAAGTATTTTTTCCTTTTTGTTTGGTCAGCTACAGGTCAGTGTTGGATGCCTGCCATGGAGAGAAGGGGTCACGAAGAGTTCAGAAACGGTTACAAAAGGATGTTCAGGACTGTCTTTTGAAAACTTTGCTCCACTGCACCAACCACTTGCAATTATGTAGTCACGGCATGCTTCAAGCGCAGAAGAAGTTTTACAAACCAGAGGAACAGATAGCCTTTGCTTATAGTTCTGGGACGTCTTATCTGTGAATATACCTGTTTCAGTATTAACTGACAGTATTGCTCATGGCATTAAAAAAAGAGGCATTTTGTCCTTGCGTTCTTTGAAGCCTTTTTGCAGCACAGAGTGCCACATCATGAAGTGCATTTCACTATATATTTTAAATGTACCATTAAAGCTTTAAAACAACATTGTCTGTGTGTGCAGCCGCCATTAAAGTGGCGTGCATTTTCCATGCTTCTCATAAAAATGTAATGTTTTGAAGACTGAAAACACTTGACCTAGCCAAGTATATGTCAAGATTTGTCAGTGCATAGAAATGGGCCTTTTGACTGCGTCTGGTGGTGTTAGTCTGAGTGGAAGTGGGCGTTGGAAAACTGCCTCCTGACACCTCTTTAACAAGGTGGGCAAGCTAGTGAATCAGCCCAGTCAGTCAGTCAGTCATTCACTCCTGACACCCACAGCCCAGCTTCTTAAGGCACGCGGTACAAGCAGATGTTGTTTTTGGGGAAGTTGCCAGACATAAAATACCTGCAGGAAGTAATGTATATATTGTTGTTTAGAGGCAGGAGGCTCTGAGGCAGCATAGCGGCTGCAGCAGACAGCTGACTGGCTGCTTTCCAGCTGTGTCAGGATGGTTACATATGTGGTCGGATCGTGGCAGGCAGGCGCTGCCCCATCGGGGACATCAGTAATGTTAATGCCATTTTCCCGTGATTCAGATGTCACCTGCAACCCAGCAGATGCAGCCCACGCAGACGTTGCAGTCTCCGCCACCCAGTGGTGGACGGCGCAGACGAGTAGTGGACGAGGACCCGGATGAACGTCGGCGAAAGTTTCTGGAGCGAAACAGAGCGGCTGCAACAAGATGCAGGCAGAAGCGAAAAGTTTGGGTGATGTCATTAGAGAAGAAGGCAGAGGAGCTCACACAGACCAACATGCAGCTTCAGGTAAAAACCCAAAAAATCAAAAAACACCTTTAGAGCCTCTAAATCTATGTACAGTAACAACTGCAACTCAGGGCCATCACCATGGATTTTGATTTGTTTATATTGGGTAGTATGACCTGAGTATTTTACTGTTTGTTTTTAGGTAGTTAAGGATGGAGAGTTGCCAAGAAATGTTGATTCGCTGAAATCTGAAAATATTTTTCTTTTTCTCAGAATGAAGTCACAATGCTAAAGAACGAGGTGACACAGCTCAAGCAGCTTCTCCTCACACACAAGGACTGTCCCATCACCACTATGCAGAAAGAGTCCCAAGGTTACCTCAGTGAGTAGCTTAAACATAAACACACTCACACACCTTTAACTGTGTGCCTTAGCTCTGCGGTGGAAAGGAATAAACCCTACAGACACAAGTCTGATGGACACACAGTAACTGGCAAGGCTTTTCGTTCCAGTGTGCTGGTATCCAGCTCCCACGCTCGCTGCAGGACTCTTCCTTTGACATATGGGTGTTGCACACTCTGGTAGCTGGCTGTCTGAATCCCTTTTGAGACTTATTTTTTCCATCTCACAGCAGCTCTGTGCACAGAAGCAGCCGAGCCTCAACGTGAGAAAGACATCACAGTCTGCACGTTGACATCACAGCCCTAATGGATGCCTGGGATCTCACTGATTTTTGGACTGTGCTTCAGCTCAGCCGTACATGACATCAGAGCCCCACCCTTTGATACGGATTCGAGTGACATTTCCATGTAATTAGGATAAGTCACCTCCCTGTGCAGCTTTAGGAAAATAAGGCTCACGTCCCCCCTTGGCTGAATGGCTCTTTTGTACAAGAGAAAGCCAACTCCCAGCCTGGGCTGGAATGACTTTCATCGATGAGTCTAACTGGTGTAAAGATGTCACCTACAATGTGTCCAAAATCCATCAGGCGTATTTACGGAGTGGAATGATTCACGTTTCCATTTTTGTGTTATCCATTATCGTCTATTTTGAGATGGAGGATGAGACATTTGGTGTAACCTTAGGTTGTCACATGTTTGAAATAAATGCTCTTCTGCTAATAAAGATTTTTTTTGTAATATAATGAGAGATCCTGTGTTTATTTTGCTAGATTTTACCATTATGCATACTTTATGTATCCCTGTGTGCAGCTCCTCGGTTCTATCTTTTGTACTTGCACTCACACATGCGTGCTTTACGCATCACTTCTATCTTCAGTGATGTCTCTGCTTTCTCCTCAGGTCCAGAGAGCAGTCCTGCAGGCAGTCCAGCTCCAGTGTGCTCCCAGCAGCAGGTCATCCAGCACAACACCATCACCACCTCCACTACGACTGTAGGGGGCAGCAGTGTGCACGGGCAGACCAACCACTGCACAGACATTAACCCCATCCACTAGGGACAAAGGAGACCGTAACCTCGGCTGCAGCCACGAATCCCCCCCCCCCACCACCACCCATGCTTTTTGAGGGTCGCCAGCTGCACGTGCTGCTCCTCATTCTCCATCAAGAAAAACCTCAAAGGCCTGTGAGGCTGTTCTTTATACAGTAGCTACAGTATCTATTTTTATAGACCAATCCTATTAACGCATAAAACTTTTATGTTTTTTGGCGCGTTTTTTTAATTCTGCTTTTTTTGTGCTTAGTGGAAAGACATTTTTGTTAATCTCATGCACCATTTCAGTGACTTTTTCTGTTTTGTAATGGTACAAAATTGATCACGATGCTCATGAAACCAGAGGACAGAGACGCGTGCCTCAGACTGTCATCTCTTAAAAAACAAAAATACAGGTCTTACATCTCTATGTGCCCAGTGGACTGAATAAAGAGTGACCGTAAGCTGCGTAAGCTTGCAGCAATGTGGAAGACACTGAAAAATCGGAAAAACTGAGGGGGACGTCGCTGCGTTTTATTTGTTGTTTAAAGTCAGACTTTGAACACGGATGTCTTGAAGACAGGAATATGCAAGCAGGTGAAATGACCCTTTTTCTTTTTTTCCAAGAAACATATATGACTGTTAACAATCTTCCCTGTCGGCAGTATTCTTTAAAAACAAGCAAACAAACAAAAAAAGCTTTACAATATACGGCGTGACAGTGAAAATACCATATGCTCAGACGGAAGCAATACATCACAGTGTTGATCATCTTTTTTCTACTGTACGCCCACATTAATGATCAGAATGGCCAAGGACATTTGATGCTGTTGCAGCGACAGAACTGTACACTGTGATACCAGTGAGGCAGCTCAGCAGCGGAGATCAGCGTCCTCCGCTCTCCAGGACCAACTGAAGCTTTTTAATCGTTGAGGCCTCTTGTTGTGTGTGTGTGTGTGTGTGTGTGTGTGTGTGTGTGTGTGTGTGTGTGTGTGTGTGTGTGTGTG